GAAACAACAGCTTCCCGACACACAAACTACAAGCAATAGCTTGATGAGAGGCCGGCGGTGAGAAACTAACGTAGTGAGAGAAAACCCTCTTTTGTCCAAGTAAATACTCACAAACCCAACAATCGAACATTGTTTTCAAAACAATTCTCAGTAACTTCCTTCGTGATCAAGCTTAGGGTGTCACGCTATGGATCGAGATGCGTAAAGACCGAAGAGTGTATGCAGCACACCATGAGGCCAGGAATATATTCCTAGCACCACATAATACATTAGTCTGATTAGCATTGAACGCAAATTTATGTTTTCAGAAAAACTTTAAAAAATAATAGATCTGATTTTATTGAATACAATATTTTAAAGAAATTTTGTTTATGAATAAAGCCGTTTCTAAATCAACACATTTCGTTTTACTACAGTTCATTTGGAACAGCAAAATATAAAAACTCATCAAAGAAGTCTACTACTTATGTCACAGAAGTCGGCCATCCCTTTTTTTGGCTGTTTGTGTGGAACTTACGGACATTTAATACGACCCCGGGTATTTATTTAACTTCAAAAACTGTGCGATTAACTACGGCTAGAAGTTCCAATGCCGTGATCAAATTTACAAAACGGGATGTGAAAGAAATTAAAATCACGTGTTTCATTTTTTTATTACACTCTTCACAGAAAACAGTTTAAAACCCTAGGACATGAAGGTTAAATCTGTGAGATTTGACGTGGAATGACCCATTTATGATTAGTTCGTATTTAGGTGCGCCACCTACTATGGTCATTAGTTCCGTAAGTGTATGGCATGTTTTTATCACGGGAGGTAGCGGAGATGATTACGAGAATCCAGCCTGGCCTACACGTTCTTTTGCGGAGTTTTCCTATCCAAGTATCCACCACACCATCCAGGACAAGATCTAAGCTCCCGTCTGGCCTGTCGGCGAGTGGCAGTGCAGTGCAGGAAAGTGCTCGCGCGCGCGCATGTGTGTACGTACGAGGTGATGATAGAACAAGGAAAGGGAAGGAAAGATCGCGCGCGGTCCATAGCAAATATCATTTTACATTACCATAACATAAAACATTGTGTTACAACGAATAGATCTGTCAGACGTTGTCCTTCCTGGCTTAGGGGCTCTTGGGACAGGCGCGAACAAGTAGGCGCTGCGCCACAAGGGCAGAATCCGTTTTGTGAGTCCTTGATTCCGAAAAATTCAATAATGGCAAAACCCCTTGTCTGTCAGTCAGTGAACAACGCTAGGGGCTTAACTCTTCAGCCGATTTTCACCAAAACATATTCAATTATCGATCTGGCTGATGTCACGGACCCTTGAATTTGAAACTGATATTTTAATTTACTTTACATGGAGCGCCTAGGGCATTTTCAAAAAAACTGCGCCATAAATTTTAATAAAATTTTGTTGATGGATAGTCTGAAGGACGTTTAAGAGAATGACGCGCGTCTCATCTTGGTTAAAAACTCAAATTTTTCAGAATTTGAAAAAACATTCAAAGATTCATTCATTTTTTCGGGGTCTTCTTACAACTAAAATATTATAGTTAGTGATTTTTTCCTTAATAAAATGTTCCTTAAACACATTAAAATAAGGTCATGTTCGATTTTTTGAAAAATTTGAATATTTTTCGCGTAATTTGGCGTGAAATATAGGCATTTTTTGTTTAAACATTTTTGTCTCAAAAATGTTTAAAATAATGTGTTAAATGTGTAAAATCCATTTTAAATAATTATGAAATAAAGATTGCTTGCCTTCAGTCACCCGCTCCCAATTTATGCAGTTGGATACCAGTAAGTTATAATTTGTATATTCCATATTTCATTTTATTACTATTATTTATTATATTTGTTATTTCATTTTACATTGCATTCTTCAATTGTGTCAAATATGAAAACAAATAGATGCGTGGTAATTGTTGGTGGTTGTTACCCATTTTTGTTACCCCGCACAGATAACAGAACAACTGCTCTCAGTACGCGGTAATAAAAACAAATACTTTTATATATCTTTATATTATACAACCATAGTGTTTCATAATTTCTATTGTAAGTGTTTCGATCTATTTGCAATTGTTTGTCAATTGCAAATAGTATAGTATAGTATTTTAATTATTTTACTTTCTCGCATACTGCTTACCTACTACTTTTTCGCACCAAATGTTTAACGATTTCAAATGAGTTTTACAAAAAATTTGGAGAGAAATTCTGTTTAAATACTACTGCATAACAATTACTAATGGCAAGAAAGTACATGCTGTTTTAGCATCACTAGTTTCAAAACGGTCAAGCAACCACATGTGACTGAAATAGGACTGATCCATATCTACAATAATTGAAATCTCCCTTTCAACTGTTATACTTTTTCTAAAAAAATATGCGGGTGACAGCGCAATAGTGGCCTATCCCACATTTTTAGGAAATTGCATTCTCCGTGTTAATCACATCTTAATCTCCCTAACTTCAATGTGTAACAGTTTCAGCATGTTTGCGTCGATAGTTTTCAAGTTATAATTACAAAAAGAACGATTGCACTCAGCTTACGATTACATTTCTTTGTGCAATAGTGGCCTTAGTATAGGCGATGCTGTTTTACACAAGATGTCATCCACCACAAATGTTCAGTCAGACTTCGGTCTAATTAAAAAAATAAAAATTCTACCCCAATATTTTCTCACCGGCTGATTGGGTAAATGTCATTATTACTACAAGAAAAAACATTTAATGTTGTGTTAATGGAAAAAATGATTTTTTATCTACAAAATCCTTAGAAAATAATACAACAAACAGAATGATATCCCTGAGAAAAACAAAACTGGTGAGGCTGAAAATGCAGTAGACAAAATTGGAAAAATCATTCCCTTATTCATTATTTGTTAAATATTTGAACATTGAGGATGATGCTTTCTGGAAAGTTATTATTGCAAAACGTGGCTCCAATGTAACTACCTTTCGTGATTTACTGTATCCCAATGGACAAGCAGTAAGTGAAGAAGAGAATGACTGATGGATTTTGCACCATCTATATACCATCCATTTTATATACATTAAAATTTTCTGTAACATAAAGTGCAGAAATACTGCTTGTTAATGAATTTTTAAATAAAATAAAAACTTGCAATATACTTCTCTTTTTATTTTTGTGTCGATAATGCCCCAACTTACCTTCATTCCAGTTGTCTGTGCAATTACTAAGTGCATTAGTGGCCTAACCCACAAAAAAAAAAAAAAAATTGTATTTATACTTTTTCAATACGGGCACTCTTATGAATATTAAGGTGCAACACCAAAGTAATTATTTATTAAAATGCTAGCACTTACAACACAAGAAAACACTTACAAATGAGTGTTTAATTTTTCCAATAACTTCATCAGCCATTTTCTCCAAACACAGGATCCGGGGATAGGCCACTATTGCGCTGACACCCTCATATCTACTAGCCTTTTTTCCAATGATCATCCTATCCTCAAACATCTTCAGCATGTTTGATGTCATTTGCAGTAATCATACAATTTTTGCCAAGCTAACTTAACTACAATGCTTTCCACTGCTGCAAAATTTATTAAATTACAAAAAACCTTTTTAATATTCATGTACTACTTTGGAATTTCATTAACTATTTGTCACAACAATTGCAATCTCTTTAACTAACTTACATTGATGAAACATTTTCACGCAACTTTCGTTACCAGTATTTCATCTAGAGCAGTTTCAAAATGTTTCTACGTCATTCAAAACAATGACTCTCATAATGCTTATTCCAAATATTGATGATAAACTACAACTTTAAGCAGCCTTCCTTCAAAACAAATTAACGCTCTTCCATTGAAACAATTTCACATAATTTTAGTTGCATTAATTTGTCTTGTCCTACACTTAACTGAATACTGACTTCCATAATACTCTTGCAATAATCGAGTTCCACTGTAATTTTAAGCAGTGTTTCTTTCTGTATTTATTGTTTGAAATAATTGTTTACATAATTTCTGTAACTTTCCAAGAAATACCATTTCATGCTTGAAATGAACGTATTTCTGTTCTTTTTCGCTACAGAACCACAAAGTTTATTGTATTTTGCGTGTAGTAGATGCCAATTTTAATACTTAATATTTTGCTTAATTATACTTTAAATAGCTAATATTATATTTAATATAATTACATATTTGAATACTTAAGAAGGCTTTTCTCTAGTCCGAGTTTGGCACCATTTATGATTTTAGACAAGAAATTGTTGAAGCTTATACCCAAAATGAGGTTACATGAGGGATCAACAACTAAACAATTTTCACTTCCTTTCTTTTATCACTTAACAGCCACTATCATAGAACAGAAAACAAACTAATCAACTTCCACTAGAACTCTCCTCCAGACAGCAACTGAATTTGATCTAGCTGACAAGCTAGTGTCGAAAATTCTGCCACCATTGGGACTCGAACCTACTGAAGTGACATCAGATGATGAGCAGAGACATCTCTCCCGGTGAGACCAAGTATTAAATATCATAAAGAACTGATAGCAAGAAGATAAATCAATTTTACTACAACAAATTCTGCTGTACTACTTTCCATCACCAAAACTATTGCTTACTCTCTTAACTTTACTATTTAATTTATTTACTTTAATGTATATATAGTTACAAATAACCAGTTGCATTTACTGAACTATCAAATGAAATTCTGAAAACCCTATTTTGGGACTCCACACCTATTTAAGGATTCCTGAAAATTCTTAAATTAAAAAGGCCTATTAAAATCTTATTCTTTACTCCGCGTATTTAGGGGAAGGAAATAACTAATCAGTTTAATCAGATAAGTTGAACTTTTGATCCGTTCTAAAAATTTAGAAAGCTAAGTAAACAATGCACTAATAATATAGCTAAGTGTACAATATACTACATTTATACTTTCAGACCTTAGCAGCCTTATTATAATCTGTGACTAACCACAATAGAATCAGCTACATGTCCTAAGCGTTAGTAACTTTCGGAACGTAGTCAATACCTGCAAGGTGAGCAGATACTAAATTAATAAATCTAAAATATATAACTTCATATCCTAGACAATAGATGTTAGTTTTTTCAACATTTTCTTAGCATATACATTCAATACTGTAACAAATATCTGCACGTTCAAAATACCTACCACCTACAATTCAAAGTCTCAATGAACTTTCATTATACACAAATCAGTTTTGTAAACACAAATAAAAACAATATATGCATAAAACTCCCATAGTTTTTCATATTTATTATTTGAAACAAAAATTCATAGATTAAGATAAGGCACTGACCCGACAACTATTCTTTGTATCATACATTCTACAAATCTTGAGAACTAGAAGGATCAACTAATGTTTTATTTAAAAAAAATATTCCAAAAGTTAAAAATAATGAAAATATTGCTACACATCACCATGTAAACTTATATCTGGTAAATTAAAAAAGGAATCAGTGTAATGCTACACTAGCTAGCTGTAATGCTAACAGACAATAACAATCACTTTTTCAAAATAAAAAATTGATAAGGTGCAGCAAAATCTTACAATCACATACTGAAGCGTATCAACTAATATATTATTTTTTTTATTTTTCTATAAAATATTTCCAGTCTTTTGACAATACTAAAACTTTATGAAAAACATAAGCAACAATATTTGTCTATGAAATTACAATTTCCCCCATTTTCTTTGACTAGGTACAGATTTAAATTTGTGTATCAAAAAGTACATTCATAATTTACTACTTATATAAAATATAAAACTTGGCATGGACTTGTTTGTTGGAACATCAGTCATTAACTAAAACTGCAGGGGCAACATAATGAAAAAATTGTTGACTCAACAAGTAGAAAAGAGAAGTTTTGGCTCATCTATGACAACTTCTAAGCATCTTCACATTAATATTACAATTTCACTCATGCACAGGCAATTAGGAGTGGTAGTTATTAACTTTACTTATTTGATTTCTTAGATGAACCACTCAAAAAGCATCTAATTAACTGACACAAAATTACTAACAACATAGTGACAAAATAGAACAATTACACATAGATACAGTGCAAGTTGCTGATAGTCTCAACCAATACACAAGTACAAAATACTAAACATAACTAATACTAAAAAATCAGAGAAAGGTCAATTTAGCAAAATGAAAAATGCAACATCTGAATTACATAAAGAAACACAGCATACCAAAAAAACAAAGGTTTTATGAACATTTATCAGAAGTCTAATAAATCTGTTTCGTGCTTTTCAAGCAAGACAATTTATTTCTCTTTCAATTTAACTATTACCATCAATTATATTCATGTAATATTGATTTAAATCTCAAATATTAACATGAAGAAAGTTGGGAATAGTTCATAAATTTCTTACTGGTCACCAAGACTGGGCAAATGATTTTCAAGAACCTTACCGTTTTATTAAACGGGTCTCACATAATTATCAGATCCGTATTGAATCAAACTATGCTAATGGATGAACCATTGGACAGACATAAACATTACCTTTAGAATAAGTTTTAATAGATGCTTGTAATTAATTCAGCAACTGTAAATGAAATACAAGAAACATGTCACAGAACATTAAACACATCTCTGAAACTTTAATCTGACACCAACGACATATAATGAGCACTATTTACAGAAGTTAACAAAGCAATAACAAAATTGAATTTGAGATTTAACTGTCCAATACAATACCCCCAAAACCAAACAAATCTCAATAAAGATTCATTAATACTATTTTTGTAACTGTCTGGTTGTCCATTAGCAAGTAAAACATTTCTGACAGTAACAAAGATCAAAAAAACAAAATGAAACTTAAGGAGAAATTGCCAAATTCCAAATTTACTGTTGCAACTAATATTTTCCATACCACCTGGTACAAAAACATCAAATAACCCCATAACCATACTTCTAAGGCACATTTTTCACCTACTTCATTTTCACATGCTCTCACACTCAATATGATATGTATACAATAAAAATCAAATAAACGAACAAAAAGTACTTTCATCTGCTTCCACACAATCTATAATATAAGTATATACAAATAGAATAACATAAAAATGCAAAATGCAAATTGTATAGAAAACTTCCAAAAGTCTTCACTATCTCTCAAAAACTGTGTAAACTGTCCCAAAACATACTTTTTCACGTAAGTCTTAAATACACAATGACCATCAATTCAGTCAATCTCATTCACACAGCAAATGTATCACAAAGTGTATTAATTTTCTGACGGAGCATCTGCATCAGCATCAGCATCAGCATCATCACCTTCAGCATTGGCATCAGTATCAGCATCATCAACAGCACCATTAGCAGCAGCAGCATTGTTTTCTTTATCAGGATATAAAGGTGGAGGAACAAGCTTGACATTATTGAAATATGGATGCCGGAGAGCCATCCTTGCAGAGATTCTCTTATTGGGGTCATAAACCAATAATTTCTGCAAAAAGAATAATTTGAATTAATAACAGAATATGCTATTCTTGAATTCAAAAGTATTGAAGATAACTCTTGATCGGGAAGTAAATGGGATGCTGTGTTAAAAGAGAAACTTATAGGAGGAGTTAATTAAATGAAAGAAAATATAGTTATAATTCTTAAACCTAATTTGGAGAATATTTACATTGTGGCTTTACTAGCTATTTCTCTTATTTAATAAACCTATGATAAGAGTAAACTACTCTTCTATCCAATCACACACACTTTTATTTAATCATATTCTTTAAACATGCTTATTTCTCAAACCGCTACTTTTACCTCCAAAGGTACATGGTACTCTATACAACAGCAAAGAATATGTGAAGAAATGTAGAATATGTGAATGCAATAGAAGAAATAGTTCAAAATTTAAAAAATTCTAAGGAGGCCTCTCTAAATAAGGTTGTTGTCTTATTGAGAGTCAACTTGTAGTCAGGTAGATATGGTATTTTGTATATATTTTTTCTGATGATGATCAGACTTCATTCATGAATGATTCTTCTACCTTGTATTCTGCAAGCTGCAATCCTATGATTCCTGCCATCATCTGGAAAAAGCGATGCCTTCATTGCAGTCACTCACTACCCTCTCTATAAATTTTGTAATGGCAATATCGCCTGCGATGATATTCCACAGCAGTGGACTAGGCTCTTAATTTAAACAATTACAAAACCGTTAAATCCTGCAACTATGGTATTCAACTCCTATCCTCCTCAACAATGTTGGAACATTGACCCAGCAGAGGGACTTGATCACACCAAGTTGAAGGCATTCTTATTGTCCAATGGTATCACTACACAGTACTTTTTTGAGCATCTGTATAGTGCCTATACAAGCTGCTTTGGCATGTCAGGCAGTGTCAACAACTATCTGAACAGCACTGACTGTTAAGTAGCACTTGAAGAACTTGTACCGCTTTCCTGGGAGTCCTCTTCTTTCCTTGGGTTTTTTAATGTGGTACTCGAAAACTTTACCAGCTGATTCAAGCATACCAGGTGACATTGAAGACAACTGCTCTTCAGGTTTCTTTCCCTTTAGGAAAAGTACCATTTGCTATTTCTTTATCTCTCTGGAAATATTTCACCCCAAGCATGAATTGAAAAGACCTGCAATGTTTTCAGTACGAGTTGATATCACAGTCTTGGGAGTGTTCAGAGGAAACTAACTAGTCCCAGAGCTTTAGTGTTAGTAATTCTGCTGATTGCACACAGTACCTCTTCCTTAGAGATGGGTGTTATCTTTTCTGGCTTACATGACATTATGGTGCAAGTTCACTGGGGTGGTAAGTCATACCATAATTCTCAAAAGAATGTTAGGGCCAGTTGGTGCCTGATTTTTCAACCTTCTTGGTATTGAGAAAAGAATCCTTGCCACAAACTCACTCACAGTCTTCTGGTTTGAAGACAGTGCTGACAAAGCTTACTCCATACCTCCCATTATACCTCCTCTCCCACCATTACCACATAGCACAACACTATTCTAGAAAATATTTACCAAGTTTGGAGATTGGCAAATATTTTATTTTATTTTGTAAGATCTTGCATTGGAATACTACATGTTGCTTTGTTTGTTGTTCTGTTAGGAAAGGGGCATAATAGGGCATAATCTTAAGTCTATATGTTCTGAGGTGATCATGGCCAGTTAATAAAGATATCATAGCTGATACGGGAATTTGAAGTAAGTCTTTCATTTACTCGAGGAAAAAATTGTTAGGTTTGTAGACCGTTTGGTGATACTTCCCATTTTTTGGCCAATTATTTCAGTTTGGTTTCATGATTCTTTAAGTTACTTTAGTGAAAATTTTATTGGAGATCTTGCGAATGCTTTGATTTTGCACAGCTTGTTTTGCTAGTTTACCAACAATCTCATTTCCAAAATGTTTCAAATGCAAAGTATCCTTTTTTAATAAAAGACAGTAATGACTGCACAGTGGTTTGTGCATTAATTATTCACATCATCAGCCCGTAGAATCTACAGATGCCAGCAGGTCGCCTTAAATTACGATGCCTGTTGAATCGAAGTGCATTCATACTCTCTATCTGATTATATCATGCCATTTTTACATTTGCTGTCTATTCATGGACATATCTACATCTATAAAGAACCTAAAAACACTGCTAGATTTCGTAATCTATCATTTAAGTGGTATTAAATAGCTTTGGAATACACAGATGAACATGCTCTCTGCCACATCACCTAAAGAGCACTCTTCAAAATTACCACACTGAAGCCAATTATTGTGAATAAAAAGTAATGTTTTCTTCATTATATCAATAGACACTACTGTAATGTTATATATAATGTTCTAATATATAAGAATTTAATGAAAATAAACATATTACACCTTTTTTAAACTTAATTTCTTGTAATTTATATTAAAAAATTATTTTAACCTATTGATGTGTACAATAAAGTAGGAACTTCTTATAAAAGTACAAGATTTTTTCTTTAAAATAAAAACAGAATCATAGTTATATGATAATTGGTTTAGAAGATATGACCCTTCAAATATACCTCAAAACCTTACGACCCGTGGTGGGTAGAAGTTGGTCTGAAGCTACGACCCAAATGTGTTAAAGTTACTATAATCATCTGAAAATGTTTTAAAAAAGCCATTGAATATCAATTACTAAATGGAATTAATGCTTTAAAAAAATGTCTGAAGAGGAAAATTCTCTTTTTATAAGGTACAAATGAATGGAGTGCCAGAGGAATAAGAGACTGTTAAAGGGAGGGGGTGGGGTGAGGCAAGGGAGGAAAATACATTAATGCGGATGGACACAATTAGCTTGTCAAAGAAACAAAAAGTTTCCAACCTCACGACACTGCCCTTCATAGGATCTAATTTATAGAAATTAAGAAAATCTGATTTTGAAGTTTACCACTAAATCAGCAATTGGAAAGAGCAAATTTCACTGAAATCATATGAACCTTATTTATAAGTCGCAATTTATCATGTCAAATGAACCTCAACAATATAAAAATAAAAAGCCCAAATATAACAAAAACTTTAAGCAAGCAAATTATGACAATATTTATTCTGTAACATGACAAGCATACTCTGATATCAATGTACCACCAATATATACTTAAACTAATCTCTTCTCATAAATAACATCCTAGATACTTTGACAACTTGGATGATACCTGTTTTATTTAAAAAAGTTTATAAAAGGAACAATTGAGACGAATACTAAAGATCTAGTCATTAAAACTGAATCTTATAAAAAATTGAGAAATCAATGCCCAAGTATGGTGAATCAATAAGAACTCAGAAGTCAACTTGATCAACTCTAGAAACATTAAAAAAATTAATAAAAATATGTGAAACTAACTGGCACACGAAGCATCCTTGCAATTATCAAAGATTATAATCAAACAATCCTTCACAAACAGTCTGAAGTTTGATTACCACCACCACATCATAATACCATAATATCTTTAACTACAGTACCAAAACTCCGAAATGAAATTACATTCACAGATTACACCCAAAATGAAGTTTGCACTATTTTCCAAAATGTGTTAATTGATTCTAGCCGTGGACCAAAACACATTACTGAAATTATTTCTATTTGTATTTCATAATCATAATTCATATCCTTCAATCTTTTCTATATAAATAAAATACATAAATTTATGAGCACATGCATTAACTTCATAACATCCAATTCCTTCATTTTCTTAACTGTAAGTTTAAAATTACAAGGGAAAAAATTTCCAACTTACCTGAAGAAGGTCTTTCCCCAGATCATCATTAATAGGTAAAATATCTTTTATGTCCTGAGCCTCCCAGCGAGGAAACATTGACTTGTAGTCGGGCAATTGTGATACACCAGGCCATACCTCCTCATCTGGTGTTCCCAGTGTTCGGAAGATTCGAAACAACTGATCAATTTCAGAGTCACCAGGAAATAGAGCTCTTCGAGTCAGCTGCAATCACAATTATACATCAACTTTCATAACTTATCCTGCTTCATTATTGAAATTCTTTTAAGTTCCTTCATTCAATCTTCAACATATTTTATACCTCTATAAAATTTCTATTCCATGTAAAATCCAATACCATTTTGAACTTTACCTCTCGTAATTTTCATCGTAATTTTTTTTATGTCAACTATAATCAAATTAATGAGATATGTGGTGCGTGTGTGTGTGTGTGTGTGTGTGTGTGTGTTTAATGAAACAGAGACTTCTGATGCATCAATATTTTGAATATGCAAGAACTTAGAAAGTCTTTAAAGTAGAAAGATACACTATATTTCATTTTAAAGGTAATTTAATGTGCTTTTTTATGTGTATTACAACTTTAAATAAATTTTTGATTAAAATTATTTTTGACAAAAATATGAACCCAACTTTGAAAATGATAACCACACGTTTATTCACTTTTCTTCTCACCTTATAAAACTACATGCAATTCTCTTTTTGTGAAATAATTTTCAAGATGGAGAAACAATGGAGCATGTGACAATGAACAATATATTTATTACTTAGCTACATATCTTGGCAGGCAGATGCTGGATACGCAAAAGTGATGTTCTTAAAATTTTATACAAAGTTTTATTTTAAGTTACATTTTACTTAAAATATACACACACAAGCACCAGTTTTAATCATGGCATATTATCATAGATACCATTTCTTCATTATTTACTAGGCCCTGAGGATGGTCGCAGAATGGCGACTGAAACGTCGGCACCTTCGCCATGGTCGAGGCGTCACCCGGACAGCCTAGTAAATACCGACTGGCAGCGGAAGCCTACACTATCACCATATCTTCATATTTTGAGAACACTTTTGCAATTATGGTACATTTTGAGTGTGGTAGAAATGTGTGAAATGTTTGGGTGCCAGGTATTCTTTGTGCAGTTGAAAATCTGGTGTCAAGTGCTTTCTCCTCTGTTACATGATCCTTGGTGGTAAAAAAAGGTACATGGAGGAGGATTTATTGGTTCTGTGAAACTTATACGACAAACGTTTAATTGTTCCCCCAACTTCATCACAGAGTTCTTTGCTGTGAGATGTCGAAACAAAGTACCAATCTGCAGGAATTCCAAAGTTCTCTTTATAATATAAGTTATTTCTGTTTTCATAATGAGAACTTGCACCATCAAAAACCACCACATTACTTTGTTAATGACATTTAATTTTTCTTTCATGAATTCTATTAAATAATTGGAATAAATAAACCGCTGTGGTATCATATTTTAAAGATTCCGAAATGGCAACAAAAGTGTTATGCCTAATTTCCATGCCCTCTTTATGTTAAATCACAAATACTTGCTCTGTTGACATCCATTGCTTGTATGTTATATTTTTGAGCATGTTGTCTTCAAACAACTGCAGTATTTGTTGTATAAACAAACTGAGATGATTCAGGGTACTCACTACAGTGTAGTTAATAACACTTTAATGTAGGGCTAATAAATTGAGCTAAGTATTCTCCGAAATTTTGTAATGGTTGTGAGGTTTCTTCTGTGAGTTCCAGAATACGTTCATCAACTATCATTAATTTGACATTTTGACGAATGGAATGCGTGCCAATTGCTCCGGCTTGCATTGTTTCGGTCAAATTTGAAATTGAACAATTTGAGTTTGAACAAATTTTGAAAACCATATTTTACACTCTGAATTTCTTTCTTAGAACAAAGTGAAGGCTTCTTTTAAGTTGCATAGGACCAACCTCTTTTGCATTTGAATTTGTTTGCCATCCTTCTTACGGATACATGATCTTTCTTGCCGGCCATTATGCAGCTTATTTCATCGAATTCATAAAATTCCTTTACTTCTGTTCTCACATCTATCGACAAAGGCCTTCCCATTTGAATATTAGGAGTTGAAATAATTTTTTTTTGACTTGCTACTTTTTTGGCCATTGTGATCATGCGAAATGATGAGTCAAAATGTTCTCGAATTTGTCTATTTGACTTGTCTTCAAATAATGTGAGAAATCTTATTTGTTTATTTCCATCTTTGTTGCTTGAAATGCTTCTTTCAGTTTTTCTACCAGATTTTGAGTTACATCATACCCCTCCCTTTCATCTTCGGATGGTCTGAATATTCTTTTTTCTAGCACTTTCTGTACCTACTCTTCTTTCGCAGAGTATGCTTTTTTAAAATAATTTTGATATATTAATTGGAGTTACCCCGAGCAATACAAGACATTCGTTAACACTCACTCCATAACGTCATACCTCCCTTATCACTGTCCTGTTCTGTTGATGTGCCAGGAACAGAGAAATTTGTACTGTGTGTACCTTCTCTTCCTCTTGGTCACTAAATATATTTCTGATAGTTGAAATTTTCAAAATTCGCACCTGACAAGAATCGCATACTTTTTAAACGTGAGGTCAACTTAATATCCGTTCTATTTAACTTTTCTAACATCAATGGAATCACTTGCCTCAAATTTTTGGCATGTTTCCTCCCATATTTTTTACTTAATTGAAAGAATTGAAACCAAAATTGGAGCATGAAACTTTGTCACTAATATTACAATATTTTAAAACACTAATAACAGAGTTTATGTTTACATTTCAGACATTTTACAGCTACTACACTTCAAAACCACTAGCGAAATTGGGACACGGAACCTTCGTCAAGTAACACACAATGGCAACTGAGAGAGACCTTTGCGATGCAACAAAGAATGCACTCTTTGGAAACAAAACTGTCAAGAGGCTCAACTCTGCTTTACATACTTCCCAGTAACTGGACAGTACTTTACAGACCCAACGGGTGTGTCCCTGGGGGCGGGCACCCAGCCAGAGACACGACCCTTCACAGTGGGTTGAATGCACTCAAGAACATAAAAATTGTTTTCATCGGCACCACTATTTTCTCCATTCTGAATTACTTTTGTATCTGTAGAGCATTTAAAATAGATTGTACAAGAAACTCCAATGAAAAATCTTGTGGTCTACTATATGAAAAATAAAGCTTAATGTTTTCTATATTTATAATTTTATATCTTGTATCCCTGCTCTAAAAAAATATTATTTCATGTTAAACAAACCAGAGTTTTATTACCTTTTCAGTAAAATAATGTTTAACATTCTCATGTTAATTTTTATTTGTATTATTTTTATTACTATTACAATTATTATTATTATTATTATTATTATTATTATTATTATTATTATTATTATTATTATTATTATTATTATTATTTTTGTTATTATTTTTGGTCGCAACACCATCTAGGTTTTTAGTAACCACTATTGCATTTAACGGTATGGTAACTGAGAAGATGACATAATTTGGTGACGATAGGGGATGAAAGGACAATCACAAATACAAACATGCTCAAGGTGGAACTTGAAACTGTGATCCTTCGGTCCAGGATCGCTACAGCACTACTTCCTTAACGATTTCGGCCATCCAGACCAACTCCTATTAATGGTATTTCTTTTATTTCAAGAAAACTGGCAGATGCACTGGAAATGGCATTTTGCACATAAAGTTTTAAAAAATCATAACTATGGAGAGAATAACATTTGGCAAGAAAGACAAAAACAAAAAAGGGTCTCATTATTTTGGCTGTGGAACATGTAAAATTAATTACCAAGAATATTAAAAATAATGAGTGAATTCCGAGTGGAATATGTTAGGGACCAAGGAAAACTAAGATTCACTAATTTTCAGGGCTTCCAACTCCTCTGCCTCCCCCCCCACACACACACACACACATTGTATGAAAATTTCGAACATTTGCAATTTCCAAACTTCCACCATGTGTATTGCAAATAAGATCTGTGCCATCTAATTTTCTAGTTTCCTTGTAAGTCGTATTGGACCTAAAACTTCACTCCAATCAAGCAAAAAGCTTCAAGAAAAAGTATGGAGAACAAACTTACTATATGTGTGTTGTTGTTGTTGTAGTTTTTTTTTTTTTTTTTTTCCATTTTTTGCGACTTTCGTTCAAAATTTCGTGAAAACTACTCATGCTTTTAAAAAATTGCACATGACATTGTATATCATGTGTGATTGTGCAGGGACTCTTTGATCCTGGTGAATAAGCTGATGAAGTCATGAAAACTGAAGTAAATCCGGGATTAATGATACTCAAAACTGATTGTGTGTAGGTTTCTTGTTAATATCATTAATCCCTGTTTTACAGCATCAGTTGAAAGTTGTTTTTTATTCTCCTGTAAGATTAAGTTCTCATGACTTGTAAGTTTATTCACCAGGGTCAAAGATATTGATACAATTTTTACATATAACATTGACATACCATTTCAGCAAATATGCACCCCAAGCTCCACACATCAACTGCTGTACTGTAGAACTTGCTCCCGAGCAATATTTCTGGAGCTCTATACCAAAGAGTAACAACTTCATGTGTATATGTACGAACAGGCAAACCAAATGTTCGAGCAAGGCCAAAATCTGCCAATTTGATGTAGCCTCTTTCATCGATTAGAAGATTTTGTGGCTTCAAATCTCGATGTAAGACAAGGTGAGCATGACAATACGCTACTCCACTTAGTAACTGATGCAAATAACTCTGTAACAATTCACAAATAAATAAATAAAAAATAAATTAATTAAATTTTAAAAAAACACAACATAAAATGCATACATTAACACGATCTTGCCAAACTTTTAAATCTACTACTTATTTCAAATTCAAATTTCTGCAAAGATGACAATGTACAAAATTTGATACACATTTAAACGAGATATTGATCACAACTATGAAGTTACAAACCACAACATTTACAGAGTTATGGTCAATGATTCGAAGAGCAGACAAATTGAGAATCCCAAGACTGCTGCCAACACAAAAGAAAACCCTCGTACTCACAAAGTACTGAACAGGTAAAATTGAGAAAATGTGTTGTAGGGGAACAAACAGAAAGTGATTTATAATGTGTACATGGGGAAGAGACATGATATTTTCTATGCTAATGTATATATTATGTATTAATTATGTTTATATTAAATTTCATTCCCAAGAATTAGTATCTAGAAATGTAGAGGCATTTATGTGTAACTTTTATATTTCAATCCCTTAGTTGTTCATATATGAATTTGTATGCATACATGTACATGTGCGAGTATTTGGTATGTCAATATATATCCACAAATGCCATTAGAATCTGCCATGTACAGAATGTGGAATAATTAGTGTATTATTGTAAATGTATTGCAATTCTTCTTTGTAAATGTATTGAGAATATGTTTCTGTCAATTTCTGTCTTTCTTTGTTTGTTTTTCTGTCAATGGGCAAGGTATGTCCAATTGAAGAAAAGTTTCATCTATCCATAAAATTTTAATAATTATATTGTCACTCATAAACTACTAATAAACTTTTGCCATCTCTTACCTAACCTTTTTCAACCAAATAGCTTGAATGACTGCTCAGTATGCCAATTTCATAACTTCAAATCAAATAAAGTAAATCTGCAGGCAACAATGTAACACTCGTAAATCTCTTGGCACATTGTATCTTTATATCTCAATGATGTTCAACAAAAATTGTAGTCATGGTAGCAAAGTCCCAAAAGCTTTTTCAGCTTTATATTCTACAGCATTCGTTCTCATATTTAAAGTTTCTCTTCAAATTCATAGATCATACAGAAAGTGTTAAACACAATATTTATAAAACATTTTAATTAATTTGATGAATGGTTTACATTTTATTGCTGTAATGCATTGCTGTAATGAACATTTTACTGACTGTAAGATAAAAATCAAGTATTTTTCTAATGTCTCAATTTCTTAGAATCCAATTGTTTAATCGAAATGATAATATTGGAATATCATAGAGAGCTCACTCACTTTTCATCACTAGGTTTGAGGAAAAAATTGAATCCATTTGAGAAAATGCATCATTATGACTTAACTTAGACAACTTTTCAGAGTTCAAGAAACTTCATATGAAATCATTACTTTTGGGGAATATAAATTGTGGAGAAACAGGTGACGTGACAGGTGCACACACAGGCAGATATTTTGCAGTCAATTGATTTCTCTGTATCAAAAAACAGAACCCACACAATGGATTTCTGACTACTGAACGTTAAAGGAAGTAATTTATTTCTTGTAGAAATATGACTTATCCACTTTTTCTTTACCAGGGCCTGGAAATAAAGTGTTTTTGTTGAAAAATCACCATTTTCCCTTAGCATTACAATATTTTCTCTATATTGTGTAATCAGTATGTGAGAAAGTAAAAATAAAAGGAGATATCGTCCTATTATTGGAGTGTAATAAATTTTACAAAGAATGTCATCACATTGTGGATAAAACGAATCAAAATGTTTTCCTAGTTTTATGTGGCAACTTCAATGTCAGAATACTCCGCCAAATAAGTAACTAATATAATCAGGACAGACGACGAACAGATAAAAACTGTAAATGGAACAGATCTAAGATCACTTGCAACTATTAATTATTTTAAAAAATTCATTGTTTTTTTTCTAAAAGAATGATATCCACAAATATATGTACAAATACAGACAGCCAGAGAGTGAAGAACTAATCTTGATTACTTCCTAGTAAGATAAAAATTGGTATCTTGAGTCAAAGGTACGAGGATTTTTTGAGGTTCTGACCACATTCTTTAAGTATCCACATTATGACCACAAGAAAGAGAGGTTAAAAGTTCAAATCAACAAACAGGAATGTTTTAATGGAACTGCCTGTAAAATTTTAAAGAATATTTGGCATAAGACAGGAGAACACAACCTGTACCGTTCAAAATCAACACAATAATTGCTACATTAGACAAACTAAAATTTCAACGAAACACATAACACGAATAACATCAAGTATTGCGTTAAAAAAACTGCATCTGAAGTGTTAGGTATGAGAAGGATGAGGCACAGTTGACAATATGGAAAGTAAAAATTGAAACAATTTTGAAAAGAAGAATGCCTATTAATGCCAAAGAAGACAAAATAAAATACAATAGAATACAAAATCAAACAGAAATGATAGTCCGACAGGCCCAACAACAATCTTGTAAAAATTTGTCTGATTTAGAACAGGACTTTAAAAAAACATGGGAGACAGTAGTCAGCTTACAAAATTTGTAAAGTTTTGAATAAAGAAAAAAAATAAGGCATGTAAATCTCAATCAATATCAAAGAGGATGAGTGAAAAATAGCCTCATTCGATAATAATGCCATGAAGAAAAATGATCACGTGAGAACAGTGAAATGGGACCTGTTGTGAGTTGATGAACTAGAAGAAGCAATTGCAACAATAAAATGTAGGAAAGCTTGTGGACAACAAGAAATAAATTCATGTTTAAGTATGGTGGAAATTTTCCAAAGTTCCAACTCTCGCATCTTTTAAATACGTACTGGACAAAATATCTACCATTAGATCGGGAGCGAGGAATGGTTACACCTATTTTCTAGAAAGGATAACTGCACCAACTTGAGAAGAATTGGCTTGTTAAATACAGGCTATAAAATTCTAGCCACGACAATAACTAAAAGAGTTCAAGCAATTGCAGAACACACACTTCTAAAAGAAACAGAATGATTTCTGAAAGGGAAGGTCTTGTGTAGATGGAGTACTTACACTCAAACAATTTATTAACAATCATTGTTAAATTAATGTAGTAAGCCATCTTCTGTTTAATGATCTTGAAAAGGTAATTGACAGGTTAATAAGACAAATAGAACAAGCATGGAAAACAAAATCTCTAAAAACTACAGGTGATAAAAAGCAATTTCGAGGAGACTTATGTGTGAATTTTCCAAATAGATGAAAGAATATTAAAATTGATCGAATTGTTACACAAGGGTGCCAACTTTCACCTATATTGTTTAATTGACGTTCTACTCACAAGAATTAAAAAGAGGAATTTTCTTCAGAGAGAACATTACAATAATCACCCGTATTGGTGAATGATATCATTTTGATATGCTAATTCTGAAGATGGCTTGAAGAAGTTAGACATCTAAATTAAAAACTAATGGTGTTAAGACTTTCTCATACTATTTACTTTTCTAGACTCTTTAGTCTGGGCTAACTTTTTGGTTTTGCTCCACCCCCTTCCCAGCTGCTATCTATTGATATCCAAAGACTATTTTTCACTTTTTCTCGATACTCTTATAGTAGAAATGAAACATGACTTTAGAAATACTATAGAATAGTAAACATGGATCTACACACAATTTATTGTTGAAAAATTTGAAACCATTTTTCGGAAAATGTGGTTTGAGTGTTTCTGAAAATGCTCAATTTTGAGCTCTTTTTCTAAATGCAGTTTTGAGATTTCAAGAAACTTTATAAGACATCATTTGAAAAATCATAGCTTCTGTTACTAGTGCTTTGCTTATAATACTTAAAATATTAAACACTTGAGACTTTTTGTTTTAATTGTTGTTGGGCTTTTTTTTTTTATTTTAAATAAATAAATACTGAATGCTGAAAATCACATACAACGTGGTCAATACTGTAAAAAATGTGTTAACCATTAGACATTCCATAAATAAAAACTAATGCAACTCTTATAAATTAACAATAAACAAAAAATGTTTGTATATTTTGTGCAAATGTACATTATGTTTGTGAATATATGTTTGTATATTCTCGTGATAATTTTAATGTAAGAAGCAGAACTGAGTTTTGCTTCCTCCAAACAATCAAGAAACTAATGATTGAGAATGTTACCGAATTACTTTTTTTAATAAATTATTTTTATACAATTACAGGTTTATCAATAATTTAAATATTACATAATTTGTAATAAAAATGATGAAAACTAAAAAATAAATAATTTGAAGCAACATGATATCCACTTGAATTCAATGTTATCGTGGGAATAACAGTTTTTCATCAGTAACTCTCATGCAATTGCAACAATTATGTGATGAATTTTATAGGATTACTTTTCTTTACATATTTTTTGTACTCTTTCTACTCTACAGAACTAATTCTTCAGAATAAATTCAAATTAATGCAGAATTTTGATAGCTAAAATACTAAACTAGGTGATATTTACTAACAAAAGTTACGGCCCCTAATTTCATTTAGGCAAAAAACAACGCTAAACCATCATAACTGTATATTTCATGGTCTCATTCCATAGTGAAAGAAAGGTTAATTCCTCAAAAAAATATTTCAGTGCAAAATGAAATGTCATAAACAACACGCCCTCATAAAAATCAAACACATTGTTGTCATGCACTACTGACAATAGTATGCTATCCGTACACAGGCAGTTTCTTACCTTAATCAGCAGATCTGAGAGCTCATATTTGGTTGTATCGAGGAACTTCTTCAGGTCTTGCATAAGGAACTCAAACACCAAGTGCAGTTTTTTATCAGAATGGACAACATCCAGTAATCTCACAACATTTGGATGTTTCAGTTCTTTCAGTAGGGAGATTTCTCTAATGGCAGTGGATGGAACACCTTCAGTTTCTCTGAGTGGAGAAGGATACATGTGTTGAAAACATTATATACATATGTATTCTATCAGTAGCTTCACTTTGCACATGCTTTGTTGAGCTCTCCTGTCATGGTAGGAATTGAGCACGGGTGAGAGTTGCCATTTTGATAGCAATACAAAAAAATTTAATTCTTTAGCTCACTTACTAATAAAGTTTTCTATTACATGAAAACAAAAATTTCAAATCTTGAAATTTTATCACTTTATTGGCACTTTTATACATCATTGAACTATGTAGAATAAAATAGTGGTGAAGGAATTCAGAAGCTCAAGAAAACATGCACAAATTATACTTCTCAACCAAACTTCATATATATTCTTTATTGTTTCTTGAAAATAAATCAAATTTTTATCATTGCAAAATTAACACAGTCTAGCAATTTTTTATTATTATTATTATTATTACTATTATTATCATCATCATCATCATCGCTATCTATCTTAGTAGCCGAAATATATTTTTATTTCTCTTCTCTGATATTTTAAACCACTTACTGATGCTCAGGAAATGTTTGATAGCACTGACACAAATATATTTTAAAGAGATACACTATCACAAGTTAATTCAATACAGAACCCAAGGCTCCCAAACAAAAGTTTCGTTTCTTTAACAGCAATAACTCCCAACCACATACCCAACATGTCGGTTTGAAAGCCTTGGAATCTCATTTGATTCACAGGTGATAGTCATTTACTGAAGTTTTTTAAAGGTTGAGTATCCAATATTTACACAAAACTTCACAAATAATAAAAATTTATAAAACTGTAAAAAAAAAGTAAGTAAAAACAGCTGTTTCAGGAGATGCAGTTTGTTGCTACATTACTCAGACTTATCTCATCCCACTGCAAAACATTTTTCTTATTCTCAAAACTAAATTATACCTCAAACATTGTCCTAAGAAAAACTTCCACAACAGAGTTTTGACAGAATTTGAGAGATAATAGTTCAGAAGCGCTGCTAGCGAAGTTTGAAACCTATGTACACCAACTGATCACTTACCAACAGGTATGTGTTCAAAATACAAAACCCTTACAAAATAATCACAAATTCAATAAGTGTTCACTTTTCAGCACAATTCAAATCACATATTTAGAAAAAGAAATTAAAAACTACATCACTTATTCAAGATAGCAAGGTATTAGCTTATACATTTTTCAATCAAAGAACCTTACGCTTTGAACAAAATACGTATCTTTCATTCCTATCAAGACACTTAAAAACAAGCAGTGCTATTCTTGGTAAGGATCATTAGGCACTTTTAAAGTCAATAAATAACATTAATATCCAATAGCAAAGAAACAAAACTGCAATTTTTACCTAATGTAATTTCTATTTGTCATACACAATACACAGGCAATAAAGGAGTGAGAAAAAACAAACCCATTTTATAAGATTTGACCAACAAGAGCACAACAAACAAATATCAGAGAACAAAAAATTCATTTTTCATAGACCAAATAAAAATTACAATTACAATCCTTTATACCCATGAGAAAGTTTCACGTCAAAATCTGGATTTCTTTTCAAATTAGAAATGAAAACAATTACTTCCACACAAGTTCCATCTATTGTGTTCCCACCAACTCCATTATGTTTAAAATTCATTTTCACAGAACGCGTAATGACAAATCGATCAAATAGTGATTTTTTTAACCAAAGCTCAAATCCTTCCATTTTTTTATTTTACTGCTTATATGATTCTTTAATGTGCTGACCTGGATGCCTGAGGTAGCTAGTGTGTGCTGACTCAGTGCCTTGGTCAGAGGGAACACAGGTTCAAGTCCCGCCCAGTGTGGTTGTTTGCCCCTTGTCTTTAATATATGTGTTGTCGTGGAAGGCCTTGAGAGCCAGCTGGGCACAGACCAAGGCGCCTGCAAATGACTAGTGTAAAAGGTCCCCATGAAGGACATGTGTCTGCCTGGCATGGACACTTGAAAATTGGCATCCCCTGAAACTGGAAAAAGCCCCCGGAAGACAAACTATGATTCTTTAACATCTTATAACTTTCCTTTAACGTATTAGGAAAAAGAACAAAATCAAAATGTTTGCATTGTTAGAAAAGTAGTTAATATGAACACAACCAAGTTAAAATTAAAAATTTGGATAATTTCAATATTTTTAACCCAATTTTGTTTTCCTGAAATGGCTAAAACAAAATGTTGACTATAAAATTCTAAAACATAATCCAATTTCCTATTCAGTAACAATCTACTCCCTTAAATCCAGTTACTAATTAGATGAATCTTTCACGAAAGGCTGTAAAATCCTCAGTACTGCAAAATATGCATTTAACAACAGAGTTAAAACTTCATATCAAAAATAACACAGCAATTATGTACTGTTACCTTATCAGGAGAGATGATACCATCACTTACAACCCAATGTCATAATATTTTTTGGACATCACTTACTGTTGTTCCTACCATATCCCATATTCATATTGACTAAGGCACTAAGCAACAACCAATTACACTTCAACATTTGATACTTCAGAAAAATTTGTCTCCAACACAATGTCAACAAATGGGCTAATACAATGCATCACTGTACAGAAAATTATAAGTATAAAAAAGTAGGGCAATTACCACCTCAATGCTAGTCAAAGGAAGAAGGTTAAGGAATTCAGGAAAAATAAGATTACAGATATTGGAATAAAACAAACAAACAACCAAAAGCTGTAAGTTAGAATTTTATTGAAGCTTTCTAATTACAAACAGCAAGTGCACAAAAAACAGCACACTGCACTATAAAATAAGAGTAGATACAGCAGCAACTACAACATATCCATTATGTATAGAACATTCTCAAACAACATGTTTAATAGAAAGTTTCTAAAATGACTTTTTAAACAGACTTTAAATATCAACCATTTAGTTAAAAATCCAACCTCCAGCATTTTTTAAATTACAAAATCGCAAACTTATATCTTTCAAGAGAGCAGGCCTTCATTACAAACGCACCGAACCACTTTTCAAAAGAAAAGTTAACCAGTTCTCTCCTTTAAAACAATTTGTGCATTATCTTAAAAAGGTTCAACGGTTCTTCCAAAAAACTACAAGGATTATGACCAATGACACTTATGATTTGTTTATTCTCTCATAATTGAAACTAACGAATATGCAATTACGACTTCACCAAAATTCTTCACTGGTGCTATCTCACAATTGCTCCTGCGAAAATTTTAATTCAAGTCATTGGAAACAATAGATAAAATTTACATTTACATAAGTGGCTGTATTCACAGTTCCTGCAAGATTTTGTACAGAACGCAAATGAAACAGCACACTTTTAATGTGCCATGCCACAGGAAGATGTTGAGTCGTCTAAATGCAAGCAGAAGCTGGTTAGATGGCAAAGCAACCCCTAACTAAGCTGAATCATGTGGTGCTACGCATCATATGCAACGTGACACTACAAGATTCAGCCCAGCTAAAGATCAAAAGGAGTGTTAAGACATCTTGTCATATCAGGAAACTGTTAACAAATGTATTAAGCAGACTCCATGCAAACTCCCAACAGATATAGTCAACACGAGAAGTCAATCATATTAACATGTGATTTTGACTTTATGAAAACCTGAATAAAAATTAAAAGAAAGCTTTAGAATAACCGCTTTATAACGGGTAAAAATTGGCGTTACAATTATTTTATAAACAAGTCCCATGAGTGACTTCTTTGAACACTTCCTTCACGCATAACACGAATCGATTGCCAGCAACTTATAAGCTCTATATTCAACTAAACTTCTTTTGGCACGTGGTATTTGTCCTCTTGAAAACCGCAGCGATTTCTTCAGTGAAATATGTTGCATTATTTTTGCCAAAGATCATCATTAAGATCATACAAACATGACAGCAACATGCGTTTCAAAAGTAACCGACTTTAAATTACAAACATATCCCCTAAATAACAACACAAGCTTGGTATTGTACTCGCGCACTATCCAATTGAGCGAACTTGTAACTTATGGCGGTTGATCACAAGCTAAACAATTTCTGTGTAATGAGCCATTACTAACGTACCCATCTTCAACCATCCAGTGGCCGCGCCAGGTCTACCAACGTCCAAACGCAAAAGGCCAAACAATCAAAACGAAACGGCACGCACGTCAGAGAACTCAATTGTTGAGAAAGTGACGAGCTGTTTAAAATTAATATTATCTTAATTTTTATAATTTCAATTTTATTGTTTTGATAATAAAAAGCGCTGAGCAAAAAACACGATTCTGGTTTCTCCAGAAACGCGTGTTTGAAAACAGCGATTATCGACTTTTATCGGTATCACGATGATATTCCCGAGATAAATTGCAAAAACCGAAACAGAATAAATAATACACACAAGTTAGGCGCGATTCAATAACATTGCAAAACGCAATACGTATTTTGGAACCAAAAGGGGGGGGGGGATCACAAACTGAGTCAAAATATGGGACGCAAATTTCTTTCGTTAAAAAGTACCATCGTAACCATAATCTCAATTATATTCAATATCATTTTTAATATACAAAAAATTTTCTCTTTGCAATTCCTCTTTCAAGAATGGCAAAATACACTTAAACATTTTCCTGTCAGTTGCCACATGCTATCTCGTGCACAGATTATTCGTAATATGCACAATGACGAAAACTTCTGCGTCAAAAAAAACAGTAAGTTGGATAATACTTTGAGAAAACTCTTTTCAGTTTGTAAAACGTTTATCACTAAATTGGATACTAACAAAGGCATTCGGAATGACTTAACGATGTAACCATTCGTATCTTAAAAGTTCAATTCCAAAACGTTTAGTATTTACGCACAATAAATGCAAATTTTCGTTTTCCACGTGCGGAAGCAATTCTTATTTCAAAAAATTTGCTAAAAATATTGCCTGAAATATGATTTTAATTGTTTTTCTAACGCCCAAGAAACAATATGAATTTTTCGACACCATAGGCTTCTGAACACATTAATATTGCTATAAACTCCCAGAATAAAACTGCTTAAAACTGGTATCTGTGTCTCAAAATTCTCACACACCCTGATTTTAAGTAAATCTAATGAAGAGATAAGTACTTTTAAAAATAAGCAAACTAATTATGAGGTTTCTGGAATCAGTAAGTCTTCTCAATTCAAAAATTGATAATTCATAACTCCACACACTATCTTTCTGAAAAAGCATCGTTCTAATGATTTTGCAACTTTTTAAATGTATTCAGATTCTAGCTTAAAAGTATCTAGTTAACTTCACACAATGCAGAAATTTTCATTTAATGAGTATATAAAAAAGGCATGAAAAAGATTTCTATAAAATGACAAAATGTCAGAAATGGACTCGAGTGATAATTACCATTATATCAGTGAGCGCAATATTTCAAAACAAGTACAAAGGTAGTTTCAAAATTTCACCAGTTACAAAAAAGGTAATGAAATTAAATCCTCTACTTACTGCCTCGTACTTCAACCAGGAATTATATCTAAAGTGTATCTAACCAATATTTAAAACTTCAATGAAATTATCTTTCACAAACACAATACTTCATTGAAGGATCTTCCCCAAGTGTTTGAAACTGACATTTTAACAATTATGACCAGATAAACTTACAACCGTTTTATATTGACTTCCAAACCGGCAAGGAGACAAACAGGGAATGAAAATAACAGTACAATTCAATTATGAACATCTAAATCCCAAATAGCAGTTATTAGTCATTGCCAAAGGGTTATTACCGTTAGGGTTTCTTTTGTTTTTTAAGAAAGAAAAGAAAATGAATAAGAAAAAGTGATTAAATTTGAAACCTATAAAAAATCTGTCTTGAAGTCCTCAGAAAAGACAGACTAATTACAATATAAACTGTTGTATAAGTAGTTCAATCAAAACTAGTAATTGGACCTAAATACATAGAAAATATTTTAAAAATAAGAGCACTATAAAGTACAACTTAAAATTATTCAGATGTAAAAAAGATGAGAAATACAATAAAAGAATTTGGAAGTATAAACTGAATTCAATTATGAAATTAATATCAGAAACATCTGAAAGTTACTAATTTCCACAAAAGATAACTAACACAATTCTAAAGTCCCTTTGAGCACACACATGAAGTGTTTGTACAATTATTAGCAATTCTACATAGTCTCATTAAGTCTAATAAATACGAGACCCCATGTTTAGCATAAAATGATTACAAGAATACTAAAATATTCAGTCCCAATTTGCAGCATCTACATTAATTTTGAATCAACTGCTTTCAATAAATGATACACAACTACATTTTACAGAAAAAGGTTCCTTACTTTAAAATTTAATTCATTATTTAATTGTATTTACTTCAAAATTTAATTGTAGATTCATTAATACACAAAACATTAGAATTCTTCTTGATGTCTTAATACTGTTCGATACAGATAAGAAAGACTACACATTTCAAATGTGCATAAAACGTTTGTTGTTATATTCCAATTATTATGCACAATAAATAAGTCTGTACACCTGTATTTACTCATCCAAAGTTGAGCATCAATACATTTTTCAAAAATTGCATTAAATAAAAAACTTAAGAACGTAATCCAATCAATATGTGTAAATAAAATATTTTTTCTATTTTGCTTAATAAAACTTACTTCTCCTGAGTAATAATAAATAGATAATGAAGTTCATCGTGTTTGAAGAAAAACACTAGTGTATAAAAGAAATCTTTCAGTTGCAAATAGCACACCAAGTTTGCAAAATCCTAGCTAATTACCTTTAAAAGACAATATGACTACATTTTCACTCAACCAAACACTTGCATCTCTATTGTTTATCAGCAGCAAACTCGAAAAGTTTGAAGCCTTCTAGAAATAATATGTAACTTATTATTAGGTAATGTATTATGTTAACAAATACATACAAATTAATTTTCAGAGAAAATATGTATCAAATAGTTTACATTGAAAATTATAAATTAGCAAAAAGCCACAAGGAAAACATATTGCAATTCAAAGATAAAATTAAAGAGTCTTGGCATCTTATATAAAATAATACATTAACATCACCAAAGAAGATGAAAGGTGTGGAATTTTGAGAAGAAGCATATGGGTATTAATGTCCTTACAAATAAAATGCAGAAACTAAAACATTCAAAACAAATATTATATTACACAGTGATATGAAACTTACGAATCCAGACGAATTTTCTTCAATGCCACTGTTTTCCCAGTGACTCTATCCTTCGCTTTATACACTACACCGTATGTGCCTTCGCCAATCTTCTCAATTTTAAGAAACTGTTCCATTTTGGGTACAAAAACACGTACATTAATTGGTGAAGGTGAACAAATCTGCTCACTTTCTTTCATCTACTCATTGTATCATTCACACGACGACCTTTTCGGTCTGTTTACACTGCCTAGAGGACTTCCTCGGCCTCACTTCCCCTATTTTCTTTACACCTCCCATGCCCCAGCATACACTTTCCCGCGCAATTCACGTGGGTCACAGCCCTCTCAATACAAAATTCCGGGGAGCCGGGGAGAACTGCAGAAGTTTAGGAATAGGATAAGGTCAAGGAAGATGAAGGCCTCCACATGAAATGCATACGTGTGCAATATTTATGGTTTATCACCGAGTTATGCGTACTCAAATTTTGAGGCAGAGGAAGATTTTAAACGAGCGAACGTTTGGGTGATATAAGTTGACATGCGGAAGCTGAGTACAGATCAGGTGGTTCAAATAATCGAAACATTGTATTTCTTGTATTTGATGTCAGATAGATTCAGGTCTTAAGAGAATTATTATTGGATATCGCAACCATTCATATTACTAGGCAAAGGAATAAATTTATTCAAATAATTTTAACAAAACATGCATGAACAATCCTTCCTTTTTTCTACTTTATAGACAAGGCGACAGGGAGCGTCAATAGTCCTGATACACATTGTCGCAGAATAAGCATATGCTCATGACCTTTGACCACGAAGTCTACAGGACTATAGACTTCGTACCTTTGACACGGCAAACGTGAGCAACTTACAAATAGATCTTATCGACTTCATGGAGGTTACGAAGCCATGGAAGCGTATTCTTACATATTTCAATTTGACGCCTCTTCCTTTATGTAGCAAAATTTATTTCAATATTTATTTGTTAGATATATGCAATTAATAAAATCATATATCAAATATCATCTTCTTTGGTGATGTTAATGTATTATTTTATATAAGATGCCAAGACTCTTTAATTTTATCTTTGAATTGCAATATGTTTTCCTTGTGGCTTTTTGCTAATTTATAATTTTCAATATTTATTTGTTAGATATATGCAATCAATAAAATTGTCCCCCTCCGAAAAAAAAAAAGATCGCCTGGATCCGCCACTGTAAAGCTGTAAGACTACATAAGACAGAAATTTTGAGATTGTTTAATGATTCGGCTCGAGAAGTAGCCAGTCAGAACTGTCGTATATGAGTAGCCAGTCAGAACTGTAAATAATTCTGTAGCAGGCATGATGCAGCGGTGTGGCGTAAGTTCCATACGGACAGACAGGACCATGTCCCAAGGGTCCGGGGGTCCCGTTCTGCTATTTAAGCCTACATATTCAAAACGAAATCATAACTCTTATATTTTATCAGACGCAGTCTGGGTCCGATAAAATCATCATAGAAGAAATAAATGAAGATCTGTTTCTTCTATTACAATGGACACAACGCAAACATATCAAAAGATGACCAACAAAGTTAAATTTTACAATGTGTATCCATCAAGAAAAAATAATCTGGCAAACCGAGTAAAATAAAAATTAATTAATCTTTCATAGCATTTAGGAATGTCGGAGATCGATCAGCATAAGGTCTGAATTTTGATAGTCGAATGTTACGGTGGTGGCTATAGATCCATAGTAGTTGAAAAGCTACGTTAAATGAGTACGTAGTGGTGCTACAGAATGGCACACACTTTTTCGTATTTTATTTTCTTTGGTCTTAGCTACTCGGACTTGCCAATACTCTTCCCAAATGCCATCCATTGCCGTCCAAAATACATTTTTTTATTTTTTATTTATTTTTTTGTTGACATTTTCTTAATTTTTCGGTTTTTTAATTGTATAGCGGAAATATTATTTTAAGATTATTAAAGAGCAGTAAAACCTCGTCCTAAATGGAAATTTTCTTTGAAGAATTTGGAGCCGATTTTTTTTAAAGTGGCCTTTAAGCCTACTGTAAATTCAAAATTTAAAACTTTTTTACAGAAAATTTTGGAGTTTTCGAAAAACTTCACTTGAAGTTTTAAGTATTTTACCTCACAAATACAATCGTGTTTACAAATTGCGGGAAATGTTCTTATCAACGGCATGAGAGATCTTTCAGAAAAATTACATTTGAGTAATTTTTGGAAAACAACAACAACAAAAATTCACCGAAATGAACATTACGTCATATTAAAGAGTGGAATTAGCACTATCCGTTCGAAATATTTGAGGAAAAAATTCGGAGCTGATTTTGAGAAAATGGTGTTTGAGCATTTCTGAAAATGCAGAATTTTCAGCAAGTTTTCACAGAAAACGGTTGAGTTTTCAAGAAGCTTTAGATGACATTATTTAAAGCACATGTACTCATAAATACAATAATGTGAACAAATTGCCGCTAATATAAATATTAACGACATGAGAGACAAGTCCAAAAATTACATTTTTTAATCTGAAGAAAAACAACAAAAGATTAGACCAATATAGCGTATAAGTAGTACATTTAGAACTATCCCTTCTAAAAGTTTGAAGAAAAAATTTGGAGCCGTTTGTGAGAAAATCTTGTTTTGTTAATATTTTAAAATTGCACATATTGCTCGCAATATTGCGCGAAAACTACTAAAATTTTCAAAAAAAATGTACATGACCTAAATGAAAGAACCCATTATGGAGAACAAATTTTATTTGAAAGATAAATGTGTCTGCAATTTTGTTGTGGTAAAAAGACGCCAGAAAAATTTTAAAATTTTCGAAAATTCAGAGTTCAACATGAAAATCTGACCTATGAAACTTTTATAAGTATTTTACTCTATTCTTACAATAAATGTAAAGAAAAAAATTGGAGCCGTATTTGAGAAAATTTTGAAAATGTTCGCGGTGCTTCATGTAAAGTACCCCAAATTTTAAAGAATTGTTTCCAAAATCTCAAATATTCAAATAATTCGAGCCAGACCGACAACGGTTTCTTCAATTTGAAAAAAATCTTTTGTATGGTGTAGGCGTTAGTAGTGTTGACGGACGGACGTTTTGAAAAAAGAGACTTTTTCGGTATCAGGGAACTCCAAAACGTGTGTTTCCGGGGAAATCTCGAAATCGATATTCTGCAGCATTACATAATTTTCCCTATACTACGTAATTACTCCGTATATACGTACGTATACGGAAAAGTAAAAATTAAAGGTGATTAAAATTATTTAGTAAGTAGAATGACACAAGAATGTGTAATTTAAGTATTTTATCAATTGAATTTGAAAAAACAATGTGTTTATTTGAAAAAATATATCATTGATAAATTGCGAAGAAAATACCAACATTTACATTTTAAATTTTATCATGAAATTACAAAAATGACAATTTATTTTCTGTAAAAATGTATAGTAGTTTTCACTGCTACAGTTCAATTTATAATCACAAAAGTGTCTTAATGACATGTCTTTAATTAAGAGGCCCCCGTATTTTGTCGGTCCAAGGGAATTTATGCAACTGGCAAGATGCATCGGGATAGTAGACCCTTCTCCAGGAAATAACAACGACTCTACACTACACATTTCGAAGAGAGTGGTCGCGAAGAACTTTTAAAATGTCCAAGCTTATAAGAATTTAAAAAAAAAAATCTTTAAACTGTAGCTCTATCTTCAAATCGATGATGCTCTTGGATAACATCGTTTGTAAATTATAAACATGTTTTTTTCTGGGCTAACAGAACGACCTTTCTGGAACATCGGATCCAGAGTCCTTTGAATAAATGCCAATCAAATATTCGTTTCAAACTCAGAGGGCCTCGAGTTTCTTTAAATGTAACCAGAAATATAAATTTTGAAGGAAACCGGCTGAACAGTTCGGCTAGCGTTGTTCACATACAGGCAGACAGACGTTTTGCCGTCAATCGATTTTTGGTGCCAAGTACACACAAAACATGGACTCTGGTTACACCACATGTTTGAGGACGTAATTTACTGTATAGTATGGGAACAAGATTTATCCACTATTTCGTTACCAGAGTCTGGCAAAAGAGTTTTTCTGTCGAAAATTCGCCGACTTCCGGCGCACGATTACAATACATACTTTCCCTTCTTACGAAGATAGGGCAATAAAGTAAAAAATATCTTTCATTTATGTTGTACTTTTGCAATTTTCGAAAGCACATGGAATTTGCCGAAAATAGGGGCAACACTACTTTTTTACCGTTTCTCACTGCATTCCGCCATACTGTTGATACCCGATGGACGGACGGACGTAAAAATAAATAAATAAATAAAAATTAAAAAATAGATACCAGAGAACACCAATAGGTGTATTTCTACTAAAATCTCGAAATCGATTTTCCCCTGCACAACTTTATACTTCGTATACCCTTCCTTGCATATGGATTAATACGCATAGCACAGACAAGGGAAATGCTACGGAAAATCGATTTCGAGATTTCAACGGCAATACTCTTTTGGTCCCCTGATATCGAAAAATTTTTTTTTTTCTTCAAAACCTGCGTCCTGTCCGTTCGTCTATGAACAACGCAAGCACCTACGATTTTTTTCAAAGTGAATATTCTCTGATCGACCTGGCTCGACTCAGCGCAAAATTTAAAAACATATTTGAAGATTGAATCTCCTGGGACCTTTTTAAAAATTTTCTCAAAAAGACTTCTAATTTTTTCTTTAAATTTCTTGCAAGATTAGAGTGAAACAATCTCATAAAGATGGCAATGATCCGATTTTCACTATTAACCTTGAATTTTCGAAAATTACAAAAGTTGAATTTTTCCCGCAGGGCTTACAAGTATAATATTGAAGAATGAAATGTTTTTCCTGCAATGAAATTTGTTCTCCATAATTAGTTCTTTAATATCATATTCATATTTTCAAAGTAATAATAGTTTTCACGCGATTTTGAGTGTGGGCTATAATAAACTAGTGGTGCTAAAACAGCACGTACTTTCTCGTCCATTGTAATGGTTATGTAATACAATTTATATCACAATTTCTCCTCGAATCAACACATCTCAATCATCATTTTTAGTAAAACTCATTACAATTCGTAAAACATTTGATACTAAGAAACTACATATTTTCAAGCATATATCAACACAAATTTGATAATTTTAATTGCTTCATACAGCTACGTATCAATCACGTCCTAACAATGAGACGTAATTCACAAAAATTCAGCTGCCGTCTCACGGAGAGGAATGCCATTGCTGCATGTCAATTGGATATTCCCTGAAGGCTAGCATTTTTTTCATATTACATTTAAATCGTATTTTAAAAAAAAGTAATAGGGCTAATTTTAATTATAGTTTGTGGATTGCTTGAAAGAAAAT